TTATTGTATGAAAATGAAATATCGGTAAAAAATATATTTGTAAAATAATTTTTCGATAGTTTATTTTATATTTATTTATAAAATATTAATAAAAAGAAATGTTTTTCATGTCTTCAAAATTTTTGGAAATAAAATTTGTAAGACATGAATTACACAGATTATCATTAACATTTTGTAAACAAATTGAAAATAAGAAACTTATCTTGAAATATCTGAAGAACAAAATTTTTTTTTCAACAAAGCATTCAAAGACAAAAATTTTTTGTTGATTTTTAAATTTGTCAACTTGAAAACAAAAAAATAATATTTTCTTGACTTCTAGAAAAGTATGTTGTTGAATATAAAAAAATTTAGTACTAACAATTTAAAAAAAATTTGCATTACAATGGTAAGAAGGTAATTATTTTCAATTTATAATTAAAGTCTTCAAGAAATTAAATCTATTATATATAAGTATAAAAATCATATAATTTTTAATAATAATGAATATTTAATAATACAAATAATTATTTATTTAGCCTATAATAAACTGTAGATAAAATTATTATTTTTTCCTAGTTTTATGATTAATGAAAATCTCAAAAAATTGTACTAAAATTTATTTATTTGTTGGAAACAAAAAAATTGTTAGTTCTATTTTTTGAGATTTAGATGAATTTCGAAACCAAAAGAAAATAATAATTTCAGCAACAGAGATAAATATAGAACATAGAAACAATTAATTTTTTTAAAATATTCATTATGTTTAAAAATTATATCTTTTTATCGTAATAAATAATAGATTACCAGTTATTAATTTGTTTTATATTCAACAACATACTTTTCTAGATGTGAAAAAAAATTATTTTTTCGTTTTTTTTAAATTGACCAATTTAAAAATCACAAGGAAATCTTTGCCTTGGAGCGCTGAGCTTAAAAATAAAATTTTGCTTCAAATAATTCAAGTTAAACTCCTTTTTTTCAATTTATCTGTAAAATGTAAATAATAAACAGCGTAATTTATGTCTTAAAAATTTTATTTTCAAAAATTTTTAATACATTGAAAACATTTCTTTTTGTTAACATTCTATAAAGAAATAAAAAGTAGAATATTGTAAAAAAATATTTTGCAACAAATATTATTTTTTAACAATACGTTCTTCATTGGATATTTGGATTCTATGCAAAAAATACACGTCTTTTAAACTGTTACAAATTTATTTATTGTTTGAAAAAAATGTTAGTACAATTTTTTGGAGATTTAGATGAATTTTTAAACTTGAAAAAACTGATAACTTTAGCAACATAGTTTAATGTAGGGCAAACGACCAATTTTTCTATTAAATATTTATCATATTTAAAAATTATATAATTTATATATAAAAAATTTAATTTCGCAGTCTTTAATTATAAAATGAAAATAATTACTAATTAAAAAAAATAGTTGAATTATGAAGGTAAAGAGATTATTTTATTTATTTGATTTTTTAAGACTTAGAAGAATAAATATATCATACAGAGTGATCTTTTTGCAAAAATTACCATTTTTGTAAATATAAAGAGGATATATTTTTTAAAGATAATTAATATATATTTAAAAAATTGTATTTCTGCTTTATAATGATCTATTTTGCTGAAATTATTAGTTTTTGATAATTTTAAAATTCATCTAAATCTCTAAAAATAGTACTAAAATTTTTTTTATTTCAAGCAATGTAAATTTGTAAGAATATGATTTTTAAAAATAATATTTGTTGTAAAATAATTTATTATAATAAATGAATAACAAAGTCTTTTGTTTTATTTATTTTTAGCAAGAAGTAATGTTTTTCATTTTAATATTTTTGGAAATACAAATTGTAAGACATAAATTACACAGCTTTTTATTAACATTTTATAAATAAACTGTGAAAAAGTAATTTATTTTCAAATATTTGAAAAAAAAATTTATTTTTGAACACATTATGCGAAGAAAAAAATTTTCTTTTGGTTTTTAAATTAGTCAATTTGAAAACAACAAAAAAATATTACTTTTTGACTTCACAAAATTGTATTGTTGAATTCAAAAAACATTATTAGTCCTAATAATATCACAAAGATAATTATTTTCAATGTACTATATAACTATGTACCTTTATATTTTATTTTAAAAAGTCTTATATAATTACAATTTTTGTTGTAGGAACTTAGAGTCATGGATAATAATCAACAACACCCATTGCAACAACAACCGTTGCAACAACAACCGTTGCAACAACAACCATGGCAACAACAACCATGGCAACAACAACTGTTGCAACAACAACCGTTGCAACAACAACAGATGCAACAACAACCATGGCAACAACAACCATGGCAACAACAACAGATGCAACAACCAAATACCCTGCAAAAGTCGCCTACGGCGATAAATATTCGTCACTTTCAAAATGTAAGTTGCCCTATTATATAACAGAGCGATAAAATTTTTAGCTTACTTCTGAAGCATTTTGATGTACTGGATCCGAATTTTACCTTGATGCAGCACATCAGATTTTCAAAATATTCTAACCTAAAAGTGCAAAGAAGATATTTTTTCTATCACATTTGAGACCGCGTAACATTATAATATAATTTTTTTAAGAAGGTGGTTTTAGCATCTGAATGTACTATTATTACCCTTAGATTTTATTTTAAAACTTCAAAAATCTTTATTTGGTTCTGGGTTATCGCTATTTAAATTTTTATAAGCATTATCTGATACACTCAAAAAATTCAAATGACGATAATTCAGAGTCAAGTAAAGATTTTTTAAGTTTCTAAATACATTGGGTAAGAATAGTATTATCAGATGCTAAATCCACCTTTTTGAAAAAAAATTATATTTTAATTTTACACGACATCAATTACAATTAAAAAAGTCTTTTTGTACTTTTAGGTTAGAATATCTTGAAAACCTGACGTGCTGAATGAATTCTGAAGTCAGATTTGGATTTATCAAGTCAAAATGCCTTTATAAAATTTTCAATTAAAAAATTATTAAAATTTAGATTTGTTCTCTATTTTCTAATAAATTCTTCAATTTAATATTCTGTGAAATTTAATTCTTCACTAAAATGGAGTAATAAGAATAGGTAAATAAATAATTAGTAGGGTCAACCGGGGTAAATCCGAACGCTTTTAGTAAGTTTCAACAATAACATAAGTTTTTTCTTTAAAAAAAAAATACTTCCGGTATTCTGGTGCATGAAGTTGTTACTTTACTTCCATAGAACAATTTTATGGGATAGAAAATTTTTTTGATAAATTACAATCGCAGGAAACTTAGCGTTCGTATTTACCTCAATACTTTGCAACTTTCCTAAAATATGGGGGTAAATACGAACGCCACTGTATTTCAGAAAAATCTTAGGGAAAATAAATTTAAAGTATTGCAATTGTTAAACTTATATAAAAACTCAAAAAAAATACGATAATAAACTTATTATGTAATAATGCATCATATATAAATACAAAAATCAAACAGGTTAAAAATTAAAATGCATTACACAATTAAAACCTTCAATAACTTTATCAAATCATAACGGATTTTTGCAAAACTTGGTACAGAAAGTATTTTGGAGTGATTGAATGTAAATACAAAAAAAAAAGTCAAATTTTTTAAATTCAAAATGGCGTACTTTCCTAAAACTTATTTTTAAAAATGATCAAATTTGCTAACCCTGAAACCCCCCGAGTAACAATTTTCGAGCGAATCCAATGAATTTTTTAATTCTCGTCCGCCATTTTGAATTTTGAAAAACTGACTTCAAATTGGTAATTAGCGACCCCAAAAACCGTAGAATACCAAATTTTATTAAGATCCTGAAAAACTTTTTTCAACAAACCATTTGGCAAAAAAATTGAAACACTCCTTCGAGAGAACAGAGATTAAGTTTCTGCTTATTAATTACTAACGAGGATACGTATAGAAAGAAAAACTTTTTTCTATGTACTTTTATAATGTTAAAATAATAGTGTAATGAAATAAAAACAATTTTGTGTGGCTTTGATGTAAAAAAAAATTATTAAAAATACCGTTCGGATTTACCCCAGTTTTCCAATTTTCTTGGGTAAATACGAACGGTCTGATATTATTAATAAAATTTTACAGAAGGCAAAAATCAAATATAGTTTCTGTTCTAGTATTCATAACAAACAATTATAAATAATAAAATGAATTTTTAGCTTCTTTTTCTTCAAATACGAGACAAAATACTGAAAGAGTGTCATCTTTGATTTTCAATCTTTTTTGCAATATTTGTTATCTTTGTTTATGCTGTTGCTAATTAACAAACAAAAAATGGGATAATACTTAGAATCTCTTCAAGAGGATCTGAGGTAAAAATTCTCATATCGAACTTATTTTTAAAAATTTTAATTAAGCTGAAATAATTAGCGTTCGGATTTACCCCGACTGACCCTAAGTTAATTTTTAAAAAAAAATTTTATCACAAATGTTAATTTAACAATTTTAATCTAAGAATTTTATCAGCAACTCAAAAGAAATAAATGATTTTTTGTATACAGAAACTATTTATTTGTCTTTTTTTACTATATTATCTATATTTTAGATAATAAGAAAACTTATGTTCCTAAGTTTAAATAAAATAAAAAAAATGACCGTCGTACACTCGTATGGTTTTCATGGTAACAGTTACCATAGCAACTGTTTCCATAATCTTTACACAATTTTCACTAAACATTGCAATTAAATATTCCGAACATTTCAAATAAATCTTTAGAAAATCTTTAGGAAAGTTTCGGTGCTGTGGGGGACCAAACATAAATCATGTAAATCATTCTTCTGTTCATGTCTCAAAATCTTATAATAAAAAAAGCAATAAATTAAATAAATAATGAAAATAGAAATTTCATTACATTCATTCATTATTTTCTTTCGGCATTTAAGAATTATTTTAAATATTACAATAAATAATAAATAAATTCATAACTTAAAAAATTCATTTTTTTCATAAATCGGTTGTAAAACTATTGAAAAATATAATCTGAAAATTCTAAACGAAAATTTCAAGCCGTTTTTAAAAGTTATAAACAATTAAGTGAGTGTCCCTTGATAATGAGTCAGAGCGCGCTAGGGCAAAAAAACACGCCATATTGGATCCGCCATTTTTAATTCTGAGCATCATTTTCAATAGATTTTAGGACCAATGTTTCTTTACAACTTTTTATACCGGAACGAACAGCTCTTTTTCTTATATTGTAGAATAAATCTACAAGATTTCCAGAAGCACTAAACTTTTTTCCAGATTCGTTTTTATAATATGGAATATAGTATGTTTCCTAAAATTAGACACAGAAATTAAAGCAAAGGTATTAAGATTTTTTAAAATACATGCAACGTAAAATATTATATAACTACCTTCTTCTCACAAGGAAACATTAACTCGATTCCTTCTGAAAGCTCTGAAAATCTTTCTCGATTTATTCTATAAGAGAGAAATAGGTTTATTTTTATGTGAAATAATATTATATTTTAAACTAATTATCTTCTACATAATGTTTATAAATATCTCCTTTCAATTCATGAAGGAGAATACACTCAGCAACGATTTGCTGCGATTTTGAGCTTAAAAATCCTTTAAGCTCATACTCCGCAATTGCTATATGTCCATTAAAATTATTGACGAGTGATTCATAGATTGGACCCTATAATAAAATATAAGGTAATATAAATAAATAATAGTGAAAAAAATCTGGATAATAAAAAATGTTATTACTTCTTTGATAGTACAAGAATAGATGGAATCTGATGCAACTTTTATTCTTTTTTCGGTAAAACTTGGTGTTGCTTCTGCAGACCGTTTTCTTGATTGCAAAATATTATTGACCTCTTTGACAGATTTATTATTTTCTGGGTCAGCGTTTTGAGCGATTGTATTCTGAAGGATGTTGACTTCTTCTAAAATCCCATCGACACCAACTTCATATATTCCCTCAATATCTCTTGCTACCGTTGTTGCATTGTTAACCTTTAATAATCATTTAGAAAATAAAAAAAATCGTCATTTTTTCACAAAAAATAACCCAATTAATACATAAGGTGAAAATAATTTATAAATTATATGCAAGCAATTGGGTACTCTTTATGTTATTCAAATGGGTATGAAATAATGTACATACAGTTGATGAAGTTGGTACATTTTTGTCGTTATCCTGAATCCATTTATTATATAACATAAGAAATTTTGAGTAAGGCCCCGCTTTGGGAAATAATTCTGCAATTTTTTCTCGGGCCAAGAATTGGAAACAATCATCGTCGATTTCTTCATCTATTTATCAAAAAAATTTTTGTTGAAATATATATTTTAAAATTGCAAGAATGTATTCTTACCCAGCAAACGAAAACGAATTAACAGGTCGAGCGTTTTGTTGATTATAAGTAATTAATTAGTTTTTGAGAGGATATCTTAAATTAAATTGTGGAGCTTTTCAAAGGTTTGTTTTTATAGAATTCTCTGATTCTGGACTTCTTTCTAATTGCTTAAGATATTAAGTATGGTTATCAAAATATAATAATTCTAACCTCAAAAGTTTACATATATGAAGGGTAGAATGACAAAAGGGGTCAAGCGCCAATTCACTGTTTTTACAGGAAGTAAAAAAAACATTTTTAAAAATTTTGCAGGTCATTTAAAAAAAAAACTGAGAAAACCGTTTCGATATATTAGTATGTTTTAATAAATAAACAACAATTTGTTGAAATAAACCTACATATTAACGATAAAATTAAAAAAAACTGTGGTGCCTTGAGGTTATATCAACTGCGCACATTTTCTTTAAGCATTAATTATAAAAAAAATATACAGTTTAAAGAAAAACTGGAAAATTAGTTTCTTTCTATGGAATCGACGAAATGAATAGAAAAAAAAATTCCTTTAAAAAATTGTTTGTTTTCAAGAAAATTACGAATTAATTGCTTGCTTTGGAATTGAGCAATACTTTCATCTTTAAATTCAATTGTTCACTTAGTATAACCATAAAAATATTTAAAAATTAATAACAAAATGATTTTAAAATTGTTTAAAATTGAAAATACATTATTATTATTATTAATTTTATTAATTAAAATATTATTAAAATAAAATTAAAATAAAATATTAAAATAAAACCTAAAAAAATAATATTTTTTTTTATTTTGATAATATTATTGACTCACCACTTTCTTTTGTTTTTCAATCAGGTTGCAATAAAGTAAATTTGAGGCTATTTTATTAATTTAATTTTTATTAAAAACTGATTTAAATACGCAATAAAAAAGGAAATCCTTCTACAGAAATGTGTAAATGAATTTTCTTGATTTTTTTATGCAAAAACCTCATTTTCGATAAATTGGCGCTTGACCCCTTTTGTCATTCTACCCTTCATATAAAAACACAAGAAATATAAAAAAGAACTTGGGCCCTTTACGCGCAGAAATATATAAATTTTGACGTCTAAACATTAAAATTTGCTTTTGGAAAATAATTTCATGATTTACATATGTACATACTCTAATTTTATAGTATTTGCAAAAAAATTTATACCGTTGTAATTGTTTTAACCTGTACATTACAAATATAGTATTTATATCATTATTTTTTTAAATTCCAACAATTTTTAATTTTGCAATGAAAAGCCATAAAATCATAAAAGACCCTTTCGACTGTCTTTTGGAGACCAGGCTCGCTAGATTTTTTTTTGAAAAACATAGCCAATGATATGAAAAGGATTGTAACATGTGTTGCTTTTCCTATAACTAAAATCAAGCAAACATATTTAAAATTTTTGTAACCTGCGAGCCTGGTCTCCAAAAGGCAGTCGGAAGGGTCTTTTATGGTTTTATGACTTTTCATTGCAAAATAAAAAATTGTTGGAATTTAAAAAAATAATTGTATAAATATTATATTTGCAATGTACAGGTTAAAACAATTACAACGGTATAAAATTTTTTGCAAATACTATAAGATTAGGAAAATAATGTACGCCCCCTTTTATAGTTTTCTGCGCGTAAAAGGCCCAAATTCGTCCTGAAAAATATTGATTTCTCCTGGAACAGAGTATATATATATATATATATTTTTTTCAGGACGAATTTGGGCTCTTTACGCGCAGAAAACTGTAAAAGGAGGCATACATTATTTTCCGTTTCAGCAATTAATATATGTGTATATATATATATATATATATATATATATATATATATATATATATATATATATATATATATATATGTATATATATATATGGGTAATTCTCCGCGTAGCGCACGATTTGGTGTTTGAAACTTTAAAAATATTTTTTTATCGAAATGATAAATATCAATACATATTTTTGAAGATAAAGTGTCAAGAAATAAATATCCATGGTGGGCCGGAAAAATTTTTTATAATTTTTTAATTTTTTTAAACAAATTTAAAAAAAAATTCTTTGCTTTTTGAATTCTATAAAATAGTTGAAATTTGATTTAAAATGTTTATGGGAATTTTTGAGGTAATTCAAAAAAATATATACATATAGCGCGAACGACAATTAAAAATTTTTATTTCTGTAATTTACGGAAATTTTCGAGGTAATTTATGGAAATTTATGCGGTAATTTATAGAAATTTTGGCTTTAATTCATAAAAATATTTTTTTAAATAATATTGAAGGGTCGGTGGATGCCGGTGGAGACGATTTTGTGATGCCCTGTACAAATTTGAATCTTAAAATGTGTAAAAAAAGGATAAATCAAATTAGAAAATTGATTATTTTCTTCATGGATCAACTTAAGGAATATAACTTATGCTGTTACTGCAGTAGAACTATATTAACATTTGACTTTTATTTAAATAATTCAATGTTTAATAATAAAACGCAGAATAACACACAAAAGTGCAGTCAAATATAAATAGCAAAAAAAAAGAAAATAATTATTTTTTTGATCAAACGCTTTTTTTATTCAATTCAACTACAATATATAATACTAAAATTACAATAGAAATTTTTATTTTTATTTATTTATTTATACTAATTTATTTAGTTATTTATTAGTGCACGTTACTAGAAATATTAACTTTCTTGTTTAAACATCCTGTGGGGACAGGTCAAATTTTGACGTTTTCAGCCTTGAAAACCACTTTTGACGAAAAATTATAATGTTAAATACAAAAATAACTATTGGTTTTTGTTTGTAGTCACAGAAATTACCTTTTTACATTGGAATCGAAATATTATGTGAATATTATTTGTGATTTTTCTTTCACAACATGAAAAAAAGCAAGTTGTGCGCTACGCGGAGAATCACCCATATATTTCTGTGTGTGTGTGTGTGTGTGTAATATATTTATTTTATATATCAATTTTAAATATTATTTTAGAAATAATGCAATTTATGTGGTTATTTTTAAAAAATTTATGTATTAACTTATAATAAATAAAATATTAAATAAATTTCAAAAAACTAATGTTGGAAATTTATGTGATAATTTATGGGAAGGTATGCTCTAATTTGTGAAAATTTTGAAGTGATTTATAATGATATATCAAAGAATGTTAAAAATTAAAAGAAATTAAGGTATTAGTCGCGTAAAATCATTTTCGCCAGATATTTTTTAAATTTTGCATGAGTGTTTCTGACATAATTATCTACAAAATAAGACCATTCCCATCGATTTTGACCGATCCTAAGCTTTAAAATATCATTTCAAAGTTGATACTTTTTACATGGACGGAGCACCTAATGCATGTAAGGAATTTGCTTTATAATTATTTAAATAAAAACCAGTCGTCAGATTTTAAAATAAAACTACCACATAATACATTCTCATGAAACGAATGCATACAAAAAAACTAAAATTTTTTGACCGTACCAAACTATAAATATATTAGGAGAAAGTTAACAAAATTTTAAATTATATGAAGTTCCACTGCTGGAAAGCAGTACACTTGGCAACGCTGTAGCGCGCGAATGCATACAAAATTCAAAATCATGCAAAGTACACAGTAAGAAAGTAAGAATATCTCATAGAATAGAATAAAAAAATAATATATTTAAAATTTCACAACATAGATTAGTATTAAATATTTCTCAATTTTTTAAATTAAATCATATATTTTAAGAAAAATAAGAATGAGAAACGTTAAATTGGTTGGTTATATTTCAACAGTTAAGAAATAAAAACATTTTTTGATGAAATATTTATTTTTTACTTTATAAACCAATTTATAATACATTATTGATGTAAATATTAATTATAAATAATTAAAAATTAGTTTTCAAAGAAGCATACTTGAATTTTTTTTAATAATATTCACATCTTTAATTATTAATTATTCTTAGTAAGTTTCATACTTTTAAAAAGTTTAAGCATTTATATACATAATTATTAATCATAAATAATTCAAAAATAGCTTTTAAAGAAGCTAAACACTTTTTGTGACTCCAACATTCAGTAGCACTGGTACATTCAGATTGCGACGTTGCCGCGATCAAAACTTTAGTTCTACACGTGCGAGAACGCGGCGCTCTGAGTGAAACTTACCTGTACCCTTCAAAAAGTTTGACTCAGAACTATACCTCTTGCTAAGCACAGACTGAGTCAGACTCAAGACAAACTTTTGGTTAGAGCCGGCGCGCGACTAATACCTTAATAAAAAAATTCTCTAAAAACTAATATTTCGATTTTGAATTTTCACACGAAGCGTTGAGTTTTAATGCAATTTTATGACTTAAAAAAATTCTATGTAAATCAATTGAAGTATTTTGTATAACTAAACATTTATTCATGTTGATTTTAGAAGATTTAGTTTGTTTTAATCTTATTTAAATACACATTCAGATACATATTTAACATTTTAAATCGACAATTCGTTTATTTCATATTATTTTCGATTATCCGGATACATGCCTGCATTCATTACAATGATAGACTTTTCGTATCAAAAGTTCATAATATGATTAATCTGAATTAGTAGTTTTCTACTAATAAAAGAATGCGGATTCGTTTACCAATTGAATTAATAACAGTTTCGACTCATTCTTATTAAAAAAAACCACTAATTCATGGAGTAGATCGGCTTACTAATTTTTGAAATAGTAAAAAATACGTCTTACTAAGAGTAGTTTTTTTCTACTAACAATTAGTAATTTTCTACTAAAAATTAGTTAAAAATTAGTAGTTTTTAACCAAATAATACCGAAAATTAATATGGCCATACTAATTCTCGATATTATTATTAGTTTAAAAACTGATTCACTCATGCGACTAAATTGTAAAAAATTTGTTTTAACTTCAAAAATAAAATTTCTATATTTTATGGTTTTATAACAATAATCTCTTTCTATCGTTATTTGTCACGTTTTTGAATTGAGTAAAACATTCTTAAATGTTTATGGTACTTGAAAACTGTTTAGTTAACACCAGACCGTTGACATCTGGAAGTAATTTCGACGCTGGTTTGAAGGATCTCGGGACCGCTTGGCCCGCCGATCTTCAAATTTCAGGAAATTTTTTTTTGCAAGGGTTTTATAAATCGGTGCATTTTTTGAAATGTTGGAAAATTCAAAATACAATGTTGCCAAATACTTTTCTTTCTCGACGTTGTCAAATCTTGAGATTTGTTTCATCTTTTCCCTAGCTTGAAAACGATTTAGTAGTAAGAAATTACTCTTACAGTAACGGCAAAGTTTTTGAATTGGTCGCCGAGCGCAATAAGTTTTCTTAAGAAAAATAAGATTTTTTTTAAACAGTAAGTGTTATATCATTTAAAAACTGTTATTGTTTAATAATAGATTTTAAATTAAAATGTTATAATTTTAAAGACTCCAATCTCTCAAAGTTTTGTTTGTAAAAAAGTGAATTGTGTGTAAGTGAAATAATGGATTACAAACTTCTTTTGGTTGAATGGGGGTTCGAAAAGTATATCGAAAAATTCGAAGGTAAGAGTAATTATATAAACTACCATACAAATTTTCATAAATTTCCTGCATTAAGGTATTAGTCGCGCGCCGGCTCTAACCAAAAGTTTGTCTTGAGTCTGACTCAGTCTGTGCTTAGCAAGAGGTATAGTTCTGAGTCAAACTTTTTGAAGGGTACAGGTAAGTTTCACTCAGAGCGCCGCGTTCTCGCACGTGTAGAACTAAAGTTTTGATCGCGGCAACGTCGCAATCTGAATGTACCAGTGCTACTGAATGTTGGAGTCACAAAAAGTGTTTAGCTTCTTTAAAAGCTATTTTTGAATTATTTATGATTAATAATTATGTATATAAATGCTTAAACTTTTTAAAAGTATGAAACTTACTAAGAATAATTAATAATTAAAGATGTGAATATTATTAAAAAAAATTCAAGTATGCTTCTTTGAAAACTAATTTTTAATTATTTATAATTAATATTTACATCAATAATGTATTATAAATTGGTTTATAAAGTAAAAAATAAATATTTCATCAAAAAATGTTTTTATTTCTTAACTGTTGAAATATAACCAACCAATTTAACGTTTCTCATTCTTATTTTTCTTAAAATATATGATTTAATTTAAAAAATTGAGAAATATTTAATACTAATCTATGTTGTGAAATTTTAAATATATTATTTTTTTATTCTATTCTATGAGATATTCTTACTTTCTTACTGTGTACTTTGCATGATTTTGAATTTTGTATGCATTCGCGCGCTACAGCGTTGCCAAGTGTACTGCTTTCCAGCAGTGGAACTTCATATAATTTAAAATTTTGTTAACTTTCTCCTAATATATTTATAGTTTGGTACGGTCAAAAAATTTTAGTTTTTTTGTATGCATTCGTTTCATGAGAATGTATTATGTGGTAGTTTTATTTTAAAATCTGAC